TACACCTTAGGCTACTTTTATCACAAAATAATTATGATTATTGAAAACAAATTTTCCTGTATTGTTGGAGAGCATTACACAACTTTCCGGATTATCAAATTTGGCAGTGTCTATCTAAATTAAGAAAGGACAGTTGTCTGGGATAAGGCTGACATCACAGCAAATGCACCAAGAAAGCATCATGGGTAAATACAGGACCCACTCTGGTACCTCCAGGAAAATAGTGAAGAAAATTGAATCCAGCCAGCACACCAAGTTTACTTGCTCCTTTGGTGGCAAGACCAAACAGAAGAGATGAGATGTGGGGACTTGGCATCATGGATCCTGCATGAAAATCGTGACAGGAGGGACTCAGACCTACAATGCCATATCTGTGCAACAGTCAAGTCTGCCACCAGAGGACTGACTGAAGAACTGAAAGGCCAGTAGAAGCATTACCATTGGAGATCTCTAGCTCGCAATAAATGAGTTAAGGTATTATATAACAAAAAGGGGACAGTTTGGCACAGCAACACCTAGAAATAACTATATACATATATTCCCATAGGGAAAGTTGTGTACATACATACGTATATACTCATCTATCTGTATGTAAACTTTTCCAGGAAGTTTAAATAAAACAAAAAAAATTTACGTGTATGTGCCCAAGGAGGCCAGAAGGTGTCATTTTCTGAAGCTGGAGTTACAATTTCGGGTACTGGGAACTAAACTCCTGTCCTCAAGAGCAGCAAGTGTTCTTAACCACTGAACTACCTCCCCCTGGGGTCATTATCTTCTTCCTCTTCCAAGTCCTAGCTGTCCTGGAATTCACTGTGTAGACCAGGTTGGCCTTGAACTCAGAGACCCGCCTGCCTCTGCCTCCTGAGTACTGGGACTAAAGACGTGTGCCACAACCACCCGGCTTATGGATATTTGGTGTTATTTTTTAATATTTTTTTTAAGTTTTTTTGTTTTTTTTGTTTTTTTGCTTTTTGAGACATGGTTTCTCTGTGTAGCCCTGGCAATCCTGGAACTTGCTCTGTAGACCAGGCTGGCCTGAAACTCAGCGCTCCACCTGCCTTTGACTCCCAAGTGTTGGGATTAAAGACATGTGTCACTATGTATCAAATAGATGGGATTAAAGGTGTGTGCCACCACACCTAGCTGTTTTTTCAGACAGGGTCTCACTGGGTATCCCTGATTAGCCAGAGATTCCCTTGCTTCTGCCTCCTAATTGCTGGAACTAAAAATGTGTGCCATCACATCCAGCTGGGAGTATTTCCAAGTCAATCTGAAGCTAACAAGGTTACCAGAAAATGAAAACTCATGATTTATTAACTGTGGAGATTATCCCATCACAGACAACCTCAGGGAAGTACAGCTACAGTGGAAAGGTGCTTTGAAATACTTGAGTGAATGAATAAAGCAAGATAGGAACTGCGTGAATTCTGGGGGAGGGTGCACACAGAGCTTGCCAGGGTCAGCTGGCAGACTACCGGGACTTTCCACAAGAGTTCGGACCCTGCTACTTTGTTATAAACCTTTCCCAAGCTCTGCAATTCCTTCAAGCAGGTCTCTTCCAGACATGCCCACGGCATACACTTCCCTTTCTTTTTACACCCATATCTGCCAGTAGTTTCATGATAAACTGCCACATTTGAAAGTACATTGAGCGTGGGTGTTTCTGCTATACACAGCTGTCTTTAACTTTGTCCTATTTTTAAACATAGGAAGAAGACAGGCAATGTGAAACACAGCATCTGGTCCTTTAACTGTATAATGGCTTCCTTGTTTTCCACCCACTCTTATATTTACCTCAGTCAGTGATCTTCAGGTAGCATAAAACTTAGCTTTTAAAATTCGCACCTTCGAGCCAGGTGGTGGTTCGCCTGCCTTTAATCCCAGCACTCAGGTGGGTCTCTTGTGAGTTGTGTGTGTCTATAGTGAGTGAGTTGCAGGACAGACTCCAGAAACTACAGGGAAACCCTGTCTCAACCCCCTCCCCCCCAAAAAAAAAATCTCATCTGGTACATTTGAATTTTCCCACTCTAGGATATTCTTAAAAAAAAAAAAAGCTTTCTAGGGTCTGGGTTATTGCTTCAAGTACTTGCTTTGTATAAGGCCCTTGGTTTGATCTCCAGCATCCTCAAAACTTAAAGAAACTTCATTTATTCAAAATTCTGACAGTATGCAGAAATACTTAAAATGATCTAGTACTCTGTTCTCCCCACATAAATAAAAGAACATAATACTGAATAAACGTAAATAGAGCTGCCAGGATGGCAGTGGTTGCACACATCTTATAATCCCAGCACTCTGGAGGCAGAGGCAGGAGGATCTCTGATCAATGCCTGAGACTGGTCCACATAAGTTCTAAGTCAGCCAGGGCTAGAGTGAGACCCTGTCTCAAAATACCTACAAATAAAAACAAAATGTTATAGTAGCAATTCTATCCAGTGTGAGAACACTGTAAACTTATTTTCTCAGACAGTTTAGACGACTCCATCTCACAGCATGTCAAAGTATACAGCAATGTATACTTCTACAGCAAGCCTCAGCTTCCAATCCTAGCTAAGACACAAGGTGCAGGATAAAGTGCTGATAATCTATTGATGGTAACATCTTGAACAGAAATGATTTTGAGCATGGAAGTGACAGGCTTTCACCAGAGACCAAATTCCCAACCATCCCATCTGTGATTCCTGGTCTATGCAGTTAGTTTGGAAGCAAACAAGAAAAGGTAGTGTTGAAGTGAGCCTTCAGTACAAATGAACAGTCACTCTGCCAGATGATCCTTGAGAACTGTTTCGGAGTCTGATGAAACATGGGAGTCAGAGGAGCTCTGACCCTATCTGAGGTGTCTGGCACCAAGGTGGGTCCAGTCAGTTTCTTACAGACTTCCCAGACTTAACAGAGTAAAATTCTCTACTTCCAGTAATTTCAATAAAGTTACAGCTATTTATTATTATGTGGGGAAACACACTGGCATTCTTACAGCTCTGTGTCCTGAGAGCTTTCCATTCCCCCAAACCCAATACTGTATTCACACAGAACATTTTGCATATTATCCGAGTGGTACCAAATAGTCATCACAATTCTATGAAATTCAAGTTTTCAGTGATCTTAAGACAAATTAGTATTTTTGTTTGGCTGGAACATCAGTTATGGTCATGTAGAAAATCAACGTAGCCCAGCATAGTGACACAAGCCTTTGATCCCAGCCCTTAGGAGGCAGAGGCACAAAGATCTCTGGTGAGTTCAAGACCAGCCTGGTCTTCATTGAGAGTTCCAAAACAGCCAGGGCTACACAGAGAAACCCTAAAAAAAAAAAAAAAAAAAAAAAAAAAAAAAAAAAAAAAAAATCCTAACATGAAAAAACAAATCAGTAAAATTCTGCAATGGTGATGTAGAAAGAAAAAAAAAAGTTGGTCTGAAATGATTTAACTAAGCCTAAACATTGCAGAAACCATGTAAGAGTTTACATAATTTTATGTCTTAATACTACTTTTTATTCAGACAAGAAATAACCCTCTTTGAAACCAATGGTATAAACAGGTGACATCATGGACAAAAACCACAGCTAGAAACTAGTGGGAAAATGGGTCTTTGAAAACTTTTTTTTTTTTTTTTTTTTTTTTTGGTTTTTCAAGACAGGGTTTCTCTGTGTAGCTTTGGAGCCTGTCCTGGCACTGGCTCTGTAGACCAGGCTGGCCTTGAACTCACAGAGATCGGCGTGCCTCTGCCTTCCGAGTGCTGGGATTAAATGTGTACACCACCAACACCCAGCTGAAAACACTTTCTAATAGAGGAACATTAGATAATCAGTATAAAGCAGAGCATTTTCTGAACCACCCACCTACCTTTTCCTTTACTGAACAATCTGAAATAAGCATTACAACCTAGAATTCTCTTAAAAGTTGTTTTTTGTTGTTTTTGAGGCAGGGTCTTTACAGAGCCCTGGCTGTCCTGGAATTCACCTTGTTGACCAGGCTGGCCTTGGATACACCTGCCTCTTGCTCCCAGTGCAGTGATTAAAAGCATATACCAGCATTCCTGGATCTTGTGTTTTAAAGTGCAACACAGCATTTGAGGAGTCACCAAAGGTTCCTTCCCTGTGCTTGAAGCATATCCATCTCCCCGAAATTATCCACTAAATTACCAAAGAAAAACAAACTAACAAACAACCAACCCATCAGGGCAGAGGATATAGCTCAGTGGATAGAGTGCTTGACTGCTACGCACAAAGCCCTAAATTAGGCATGGTGGCACACACCTGTAATCCCAGTCCTTGGGAAGTGGAGTTGGAGGACTAGAAATTCAAGGTCTTCCTTGGCTACAAAACCAGTTCAGGGCACCAACCTAGGCTGAAACCTATCTCAAGTGAGCAGAAACAAATCTCTGCTCGAAGCAGGCATTCTTGAGCAGTGAGATTTGCATACTTTTTCTAACTCCTAATCTATAGAGACCCTGAGCTCCCAGTAAATATTCAAATAAGGAGCTCTGCATTTGCCTTAAGTCTCTGGCTCCTAAACTAGTCTGGTGGTGTCTGCAGGGACCTGGAGTCTCTCGCCTACTGCTAGGCCCCTTGGTGTGGGCCTTTCACTTCCTGAACATGGCAAAAGGTGTTACAGCAACAAATTCATTCAGTTCTGGAATATGTTAAAAATTCCATCGTAGTCCTTGTGATTCCCAAAAAGATGCACCCAAGTGAAATACTATGATATTAATTAGCTATGGAACATGCTACCTTTTCATTGACTTTTGGATACCTGCAGTTGTTTCATGAAGGCTTCCTTCCATGTACTACAAACATTGGAGATTCTGGTGCCATGCCCACTTATTCAAATTTACCCCAAATCAATTTTCCCTACTCATTTCTTTCCTCCAGATTGATTAGTTTGAGTACATAAAGTGAGTGCATTTCATAGCACTGACAATCAAGACACTACAATTTTGCTCAATTGGGAGACTTTGTAACATGTAAAGCTCTATGGGGTTTACATATTTTTCAAGGTAGCACAGAAGTGCAAAGCTCCTTGGATGTCCTACTGTGAGAACTGTGTTTCAAGTCAGAGGAAATCTGAAATGCCATGGTATGACCATACATTCCTTAAGGAGTTAATATAAAAGCATGGTATATGCTCTAATAATTCCAATGGGGGGGGAGCACTTAACACATTTTCTTTCTCCTTTTCCTGTATTTCTAAGAGGATACCATGAATATGCTGTTGTGACTGTGAGGAATGTGCTGACAAGTGTAATTAATGTAAATACAAATAATACATCTGTAGTACATGTATACACACACACAGCAGACCAGGCCTCAGGCCTCAGACCACAGAAGTGGTGCTCTCAGGGTTCACCCGCAGGAGTCTAGATGCATTCCGAAGGTCCTGAAGCTGCTTAGCAGGCTTCCCCACACCTTCCTCAAACCTCCTCTCCACCACTGGGAGGACAGTTTCATAAAGAAAGGATGCGTTCTGTCTGATGAATGCCTTCTTCTCTGGGTCCTGCTCGCACCGTAGGCTGTAGTCCACATGCTGCACAGCAACCAGGATGACTTCCACCAGACTCTCCAGGAGCACCATGTGTAGCTCTGGGAAGTACAGTTTCAATGCCTCCTCCAGGAAGCCCATGGTCTGCTTGGTAAAAGCTACTACTGTATAGCTCAAGTTCACCCAGCAGTCATCCCCCGTGTATTGTTCAAAGTTACTGACCCCACAACTTCTCATCTCCTCTTTGAGCTTTCCCAGGGCCTCAGGGGTCATCAGGTTCATCCGACGCCACATCTCCTCTGAGTTCCGGTGCTTGGTGGCTTCAATGATAATCTCCTTGTAACTGTGCAAGGCCCCCTGGATGTCCTTCACCAGCAGGGCATGGATGATGAAGGTGAGATCCAGCCCAATCTCTCCCAGCTGCTGGCAATGCTCCTTGGCCACCTTCACACACTCAGCTGCAGTGGACAGGCTCTCCTTGCTGTCAAAAACCTGCTTGCTGAAAGCATCCACAAACATGCCCATTGCAGACCTTGCCCAGACCACAAATGCAGAGTAGCAGCCACTGTCCGTGCCTGCAAAGTCTGTCTCAAATTCCCTTGCGGTCTCCAGGAGGCTGGTAAAGAAGACGTGGCACAGCTTGTGAATGTAGAGCAGAGTGGCGCCCTCAATTCGAAGCTGGCGGATGGCAGTGTGCACAGCTGCTGCCCTGTTCCTCAGAAACAGCTCACAAGCCTTAGTGCACTGGCCCAGTCGGATCAGCTGAGACACTGCCCTGCGAGTAGCTTTAGGGCCACCTCTCAGAGAACGATCCGGGGAGAGCTCAAACACCAGCACCTCGGTGAGCTGTCGCACTCGTTCATCCACTTTGGCCCTCAGTTCTTTCACAGGAGGTGGGCTGGGCTTATCTTCCAGGTAGTGATTCAATTTGTCCAGCAAGTCCACTGCGCCCTCAAAGTCCCTCTGCGCAATACAGACATCCAGGTCTTCGGGCAACTCCTGGATCCACTCCATGGAGAGGTCTACCTTTTCCTCCTCCACCTCGGGGGTGGCCAGCTCTTCCTCATCCTCATCCTCAAAGGGGTTGCTGCCCTTGGAAGTCACTGGTGGTGGCGCACGAGGGGCCGCTGCCTCCTCCTGCTCCCTCCTCCTCTTGTCACTGAGCGCCCTCTTGGTTTCCTCCAGCACTTCCAGCCACTCGCGTTTAATCTTGGCATTTTCTGCCTGAAAGATGCGGCTCTCGGGGAACATGAGAAGCTTGAACATGTCTTTCATCGGTGGGTTGTCCTTGACGTTGACCACCGCCAGGCGGTCCAGCGGGTAAAGAGCGTTATAGCGGTACATGCCTCGCCGCTGTGGCAGCCAGGTAGCCACCAGCAGACAATCGTTCATGAGGAAGCCGTGCACGCGCTGCAGCTGGGCCATGTGGTCCGCCTCGTACTCCACCAGGTCCCCGTTGTACACCAGGTACTGGCCTGGCGTGTCCAGCAGGTCCCTGCAGCCCTCTACCTTCTCCAGCAGCGTGGTGAGCGTGCGTTGCTTGCCCTCCTCGCCCATACCAGGGCCCTCGCGGGGGACGCCCGTCGACCCGGGCAAGAAGCCTGCCTGGGCCGCCCCGCGCTCCCGCGGCCCCGCGCCCGCCGTGTCCTCACCCGTGGAGGCTCCCGCGGCGGCGGCGGGCAGCAGTGCCAGCGGAATGCTCTCTAGACTGCTCTTCTGCTCTGTCAGCAGGTGGCTCAGCTGATACATTTCGCTCTCCAGGTACGAGATCTCGCGCGCCGTCTCGATGAACTGCCGGTAGTTTTGATAGACGTTGCGCTTCAGGTTCTGTGCCGTCTCCTCCGCCAGCGCCTGCACCCGCTGTCGGTGTTCCTGCAGGTCGCGGTCGCCGTCCGACTGTTGCGACAGCTGCTTCACGTACAGCCGCGCCTCGAAGCCCCCAGACTCCAGCTGCCTTCGCAGGCGGCTCGCCCCGCTGTCGGACATGGCTGACATCCGTCCTCCTCCCGCAGTTCGCGGTCGCTGTCACTCGCCGCCGTCCGGCCCCACCCGAGCCCGGCGGAGAAGACCGCTGAGGAAGCGGGGCGGGAGCAACACCCAAACGCCTGCGCCGGGGCTGAGCGCTGCATTGCGCCTGTGCTAGAGTCGAGACTCTCCTACTGCGCCTGCGCCAGGGGCGGAGTGCCGACGGCGCGCCTGCGCGAAAAGCGGCAGCGACTTACGGCGCGTGCGCGGACCAGCCAGTACGGAAGTCAAGAGGCTCGGGCGCGGACCAGACTTGACGTGAGGTGCTGAACTTCAGGGGCGTTCAGGAGACAACCGGCTTCCTGGAGCCTTCCCTAGCCCGAGCCCCGCGTTCCTAAGCCTGTGCCCGCGGGGCGGCTCAGAGCCACTTTCGGTTAGGCGTTCGAGGCGAGCCCTCGCGCACTTGACAGCCGGGCCCGGAGCTCTCGCGAGACCAGTGCGCTGCGCGAGCACCGCCGGCGTCTTCGGAGTAGCTTGGGCGGGAGTGGCGCGATGGACGAGGATCTGGTGGTTGCGCTGCGACTGCAGGAGGAGTGGGACGTGCAGGTGGCACGGCGCGCGGCGGCGCGGGAGTCCGTGTCGTTGGTGGATGCGTCCTGGGAGCTGGTGGACCCCACCCCGGACCTGCAGGCGCTCTTCTTGCAGTTTAACGACCGCTTCTTTTGGGGTCAGCTAGAGGCGGTGGAAGTGAAGTGGAGTGTGCGCATGACACTGTGAGTGCGCCCACGAACGGCTCGGAACGTAGGGAAGGGCGAGGCCGCTGAGTTGTCGTTGGTGTCCCCGCCTCGCGGTGGAGGGAAAGGTCACTGGAGACGTGCCTATATTCCAGAGTGGGCCGGGCCTAACGGCCCTCAGTGATGTACCAACAGGATTCCTTTTCTACCCATTGAATTTGAGAAATCCCATTCGAAATAGTAATCTGCCCTTCACTTACACCGTCACATAGAAAGAAAGCAGCCTGCAGTAAAGCAGGGCGAGATGTAGTATGTAGCGTCCGTCTAACTTCACACCAACCCTATGACCCTTTTGGAGAAGTATCCGGGCAGACGTGGGCGCTAAACCATTCCCTGCTGATGAATGCCTGTGTGGAGCAGAGTGGGTGAGGGTGAGCAAGCGTTACTGCCTGCATTCCAAGTGTCCCACTCAGGAAAGCCGTATCCCATCAGGGACTCTTTCCTCTGAACTGCACTAGAACCGGTAAGGATTTGCTCATGTTTTTTGTTTTGTTTTTGAGACAGGGCTTCACTGAGTATCCCTGGCTGGCCCGGAATTCAGAGATCTGACTGCCTCTGCCTCCATAGTGCTCCCCCACGACAGGCTAGGATTTTACTTTTTGATCCGTCTCCACTGTTCTTGGTGAATCTAATCCACTGTTGTGACTGCTTTCCAGGTGTGCTGGGATTTGCACCTATGAAGGAAGAGGAGGAATGTGCTCCATCCGTCTCAGTGAACCTCTTCTAAAACTGAGACCAAGAAAGGACCTTGTAGAGGTATTCTTTCCATAACCCTAGTTCTCAGCTCAGTGATTTGCAGGAATTTTTTGTTTTTTTTTTTGTTGTTTTTTGAGACAGGGCTTCTCTGTGCAGCCCTGGGTCTCCTAGAACTCTGTCTGTAGACCAGACTGGCCTCTTGAGCTCACAAAGATCCACCCGTCTTGCCTCCTAAGTGCTGGGATTGAAGGTGTGTTCCACCACTGCCCAGGCCTTTTTAAAAAATTAAAGACAGGATCTTGATAGTAGTCCAGGCTGGCTTCAACCTCAAGATCCTCTTGCCTCAGCTCTGAGGGTTGGGTTTTTACAGCTGTGCACTACCATTCCTGGCCAGGACATTTTATTGAGTTTTAAGAGACAGTCTGTTTGCCAGGTTGGCCCTGGTCTTATATGATTCTCTTGCTTCAGCTTCCTCAGTGAGCTGGCATGCATGAACCCAGCTGTTTTTAGGGGGGTAGAGTCTGGTGCTGCCAAACTGGTCTCAAACTCCTGATCCTTCTGCCTCCACCTTGAGTGCTGGGATCACAGGTGTGTGTCATGCCCAGCATATACTTAGCTTTGTGCCCATTTAGACCTGGGCTATTCGCTCTTTTGGTGTTGGCATCACGAGCCCCGTATGTTCAAATTTCAGAGCTTGTGATACGTGTTGCAGAGTTGTCAGAATTATCTTTTGACTTTGCTTGCGGTGGGTTTCTCTACCAGAACTTTAAAGTTTTTATGTGGTTGGATTCATATTGAGTTGGTAGATAAATAGGGCTTTTTTGAGCAATTGTAATTCCTCGAAGGGAGTTTGTCTTACTGGGATCTGCAGAGGTTGAAATAGTATATGCAACGTTTTGTGTACTTGGGCCTACAGACCCCAAGTTAAGAAAGCGTTTTCATCTTCAGACATGCCCTAGAAAATTAATTTTCTGGTTTTCTGTTTCAGACTCTTTTGCATGAAATGATACATGCCTACTTATTTGTCACTAATAATGATAAAGACCGGGAAGGACATGGCCCAGAGTTCTGTAAACATATGCATCGAATCAACCAACTGACAGGAGCCAACATAACGGTACACTAAGCTACACATGTTTTGGGAGCAAGGGCAAAACAGTAAACCAGACTGTCCTCAAACTTGCAAATTCTAACTCAGCCTCCTAAGTACTGAGCTTATAGGTTTGTGCCACCAAGCCCAGCAGCCATTCAAAGTTATACTTAGATTCATTCAGTAAAAGTGAAGATTTTTCAGCCTTGAATAAGAATCCTACAGAAATGAATGGACTTGTCTAGGCGCTAGAGGTAGAGTAGCTACAGAGCCAGCAGTCCTTTTCCTTGAGGCCTCCAACAACTCCAGATCAGCATTTGAGGCATGCTCCTTTGGTTCTGCATTACACTTTTCTGGACCTTCAGGAGGAGCTTCTCACACATGTGTGACAGTCCCTTATCAGAAGTTCTTTGAGTCCTGACAGTGCAGTATTGGAGGAGATATCACAGCCAAGGCTGAGGTATGCCCTCCCTACGCTGGTGATCATGCTTGTACCACTGAACTCTTCTGGAACTGTCTGTTACCATGCGAGTGACGTGACAACACTTCCTGTTTTTTGAGACCTTGAGAGCAAGGACATACAGTGTATTAGCACAGCTTGAGACTGGGAATTTTCTGGTTTTCTATAGTAAGGATCTGGCTGTTCAGCCCTTTAACGCTATGGTTTTTAGGAATTTACACTTTAAGGAAATCTGTATGCTTGCTTCTGAGAGATAAATTCCTCCCAGTTGGTCTTAACTTTTTTTCCTTGTTACAGGCTTATTACTGTGCTATAGTAAACAACTTTTCAGTACTAGCTTTTTGTTTGTTTGGTTTTAGTTTTTTAGACAGGGTTTCTCTTTATAATAGCCCTAGCTGTCCTGGAGCTCGCTCTGTAGACCAGGCTGGCTTGGAATTGAGAGATCCACCTGCTTCTGCCCCTCTGTGCCATCTGTAATGGGATTGGGATTAAAAGCATACACCACCATCGCCTGGTCAGTTCTGTCTAGCTTTTAATAATGTTCAGCCTCTGAAACATTTAGCATTCAGAGAGGTAGTTTATGTTTTTTTTTCCCCCATGCATCAAAATCTTTTGTTTTATATGCTATTTTTATACATTAGGAAGTTTTAAATTACTTGATGTGTTCCTTTAAAGTGAAAATTTCAAAAGAAACTAAATATAGTAGCTGGCTTTCCCAAAATAGAACTTTTTAGAAATGCCTGAGAAGTAGAATATTTAATAAGAAGAAAAAACAACAACAAAAAAAAACATCCAAAGACTCCTTGGGTAAAGTTAGTAGAGTGGCTAACTTGTGTGTTGACTGTTGGTCACTTCCCTCTGCCCAGGTCTACCACACTTTCCATGATGAGGTGGATGAGTATCGTCGACACTGGTGGCGCTGCAATGGGCCCTGCCAGCACAAACAGCCCTATTACGGCTATGTGAAGCGTGCAACCAACAGGGCACCCTCTGCCCATGACTACTGGTGGGCTGACCACCAGAAAACTTGTGGAGGCACTTACATAAAAATCAAGGAGCCAGAGAACTATTCAAAGAAAGGCAGAGGAAAGGCAAAACCAGGCAAGCAGCTGGCATCAGCAGTGGAGAATAAAGGTACCTCTCCGTCTCATCTCTGTGACCTTGGCTAGTGCATGGGCAGTGTTGCCTGTCGGGGAACTGGGTTAAGATTATTGCAGGGCTGTTCTTTTCAGGTATAAAGAACACAAAGTGATGGTGGGAAAGTGTGCTTCACTCTGTGAAAATGAGGAAAGGTGACGTGGTCTCCACTTGCAGTATCTGAGGGAGAGTCCAAGGCAAACACCTCTCAGAGTGAAAACAGTAATTGAAGTAACAGCACCCAGAGTGTGAGTCCTGACCAAGCCGGCCCTTAAGTTCTCAGTGACTTCTGCGGAGCTGTCTTGGGAGGATGGGAAATGAGTTCAGCCTGTGTTTTGTCCCTGTATCATACTTAGGCTCTGCTCCTTTCCATAGGAGCTCCAAGGAGGCAGCAGTTACTGAAGCTGATGTTTCCCTTTGCATGATTTGGTGGGGTAGGCCTCAGGAGCCAAGCTGTAGTTCCTAATGTGAAATGATGAGATGTTAGGAGACTAGAAAAGTGGTGCACAGGGAAGCCAGGTAAGGAGAGCAGAGAAGGGAACCTGAGCACTTTTCTGGGAAAATTCCCTAAATTCTTTACCTATAATTTCTTCATCCGTCCTGTTCTTTCAGTAAAGGGCTCTGACTACTGAAGGTTGCCTTCTCTTGTCAATAGGTGACTACTGTACAGATCTGAGTTAAAAACAAAATAATCCTTTGTTTTAGTAAAACCACCATTTGCTCTGTGTTTGTCGCTGTGGCAATGTGTTGAGGAAGTCTTGTCTGTTTTCCTTTGCAGACAAGCTATGCAAAGGGGAGGCCCAGCCGCTCATCCCATTCAGTGGAAAAGGGTATGTTCTTGGAGATACAAGCTCTTGTCCTTTACCTGGGAAGTTGAGCACCTCATACATGGTTAATGAAGCCAAAGGTCTCTCAAATCAAGACCATTCAGCGAGTGGCCTGATACTTGATTCCAACATTGAGGTGAAATGTGAACAGAATGGTTTCCCAAGTAAA